GGCCAGCGCGCGCGCGTCTGCCGACGGCTAGATCGCGAAGCCGTCGGGGCAAACCTTCGGGCTGGGCCGTTGAGACAACCTCGCAGGCCGCTGGGGCGTGGGAGCTAGCCGCTGGGACAACCCCGCGGGCCTCCAGGCGCGCGCCGCGGCGCTCAGGCGGGAGGCAGCATGAAACCCAGCTCTGCCGCGAGCTGCTCCGCCTCAGCCCTGGAGTCCACCGCTTTCTTGTCGAGCTCCTCGAGCGCCTTCCGCAGGGGCGCCGGCGGCCCGCGCTCCAGGAACTCTCGCGCGGGCGGCCGCAGGATCAGCATGTTCCGCATGCGCGTGGCGCGGGAGAACATGACGTAGAGGTGCAGCCACCACATATCGTCCGACATGCCCGTGCGGCCAGCGTCCTCATCCCTGGCGCAGTCGATGGTGACGCCCTTGCGCAGCGTCTGGCCCTGCGACAGCGTGGAGGTCAGGTAGGACGCGTGCGTCAGTGTGAATCCCGAGCGGCGCACAGTGTGCGCCCCCGAGCTTTGCCACGTGAGCTCCTGCTCGCTGGGCCTGAACATGAGCAAGCTCCTCGCCCGCGCTTCGGCCTCGCCGTCGTCGGCAGCGCCATCGGCGCCCTGCTGCAGCACCTCGGCGACCTCCTTGTAGATCGGGGACTCCTGGAAGCCGTGCACCTGCAGCCAGATTCCCTGCGGTAGGTAGCGGGGGCGGAGGAGCTGGCCCGGCGCGCACTCCTCGTAGTCCCGCTCGTCGTCTGCGTGAAACTCGAAGGACACGATGGTGGCCCGTTGCTCCTGCACGAGCCCCAATTTCTTCTTCAGCTCCTCCTGCACGGCCGTGAACCGGACCTCCATGCCGACGTGTGCCAGTAAGACGCCGTGGATGTCCCCCGTCTTGTGCATGTTCGGGACGTTCAGGAGGCGCCGCTTGATATTCCTCCATATTCAGGCCTCAGGAGCCCAAAAGTGACGACAATTACAGGTTTGAGGATGACCCGCTCAGATTCACATGTGAACTGCGGGCCCCATAGGGAGGGGGCTCCCGCCTGAGACTTCCTCAAAATTCACTCACAGACGAGGCTCCCGCTTGATACTTCCTCCAAATTCAGATCTGAGGAGCCCAACAGTGACGACAGTTATAGGAATCCGATGACCCGCTCGGATTAGTAACATGATCTGCGGGCCCCATAGGGAGGGGGCTCCCGCCTGACGCGTCCGCACAATTCACTCACAGACGAGGGTCCCGCTTGATACTTCCTCCAAATTCAGACCTGAGGAGCCCAAAAGTGACGACAGTTACAAGAATCCGATGACCCGCTCGGATTAGTAACATGATCTGCGGGCCCCATAGGGAGGGGGCTCCCGCCGGAGACTTGCTTGCAATTCACTGACAAACGAAGCTCCCGCCTGATACTTCCTCCAAATTCAGACCTGAGGAGCTCAAAAGTGACGACAGTTACAGGAATCCGATGACCCGCTCGGATTAATAACATGATCTGCGGGCTCCATAGGGGGGGGGGCTCCCGCCTGAGACTTCCTCGCAATTCAGTCACAGACGAGGCTCCCGCTTGATACTTCCTCCAAATTCAGACCTGAGGAGCCCAAAAGTGACGACAGTTACAGGAATGAGATGACCCGCTCGGATTAGTAACATGATCTGCGGGCCCCATAGGGAGGGGTCTCCCGCCTGAGACTTCCTCACAATTCACTCACAGACGAAGCTCCCTCTTGGTGGATGATGGTGATGGGATGCTGACGACGGTGTTTGATGATGATATATGATTGATGGTGATGATGATGATGATGATGATGATGATGATGATGATGGTGGTGTTGGTGGTGATGACGACGACGTGATGATGATGGTGGTGATGATGAGTGCTGATGGTGAGTGATCGTGCGATTCTGATGGTAAATGTTGGTGATGATGATGAGGACAAAGTGGTGAGTCAGCGAGTAGTGATGATGATGATGATGATGATCGTTCGATGCCGATGATGATGAGTGATCGCGCGATGGTGATGGTGATGCTGATGGTGATGATGATGATGAGTGGGAAGTGATGGTGATGGTGATGATGATGCGGAGGAGGAAGCAAATAGGAGCAGAGGATAGGGAGGAGGACGAGAGATCCTGCGCGGAGGGTGTGCAGAGAAAATTATTCCGACGGAAGGACCCCGCATGATAATCTCTTTAGCTTGCATGGGGGTATCCTCCTGCCCCTTCCCTTCTCCCACCTACTCTTGCCTCCTCGTTCTCCTCCTGTCTGCTCCTCCTCCTCCTGCCTCAACCCCTGCCTCTTCCTCCTCTTCTTGCCTCCTCCACCTCCTCCCCCTCCCCCTCGTTATGCTTCCTCCCCCCCATTCCCCCTGCCCCTCCTGCTTCCTGCCTCCTCCTCCTGCTCTCCCTCTCCCTTCTCCCCCTCCTCCTCCTCCTCATCCCCTGTCCTCCTCCTCTCCCTCTCCCTCATCCGCTTCCTCCTCCTCCTCCTCCTCCTCCTCCTCCTCCTCCTCGTTTCCATATTCCTCCCCCCTCCTCCCCCCCCCTCCTCCTCCTCCTCCTCCTCCTCCTCCTGCCTCCTCCTTAGGCCTCCTGCCCCCTCCTGGGGCCTCCTGGGGCCTCTTGGGGCCTCCTGGAGCCTTCTGGGCCTTCCGGGACCTACTGGGGCCTCCTCGGGCATTCCTCCTCCTCCTTTTCCTCCTCGTCCTTCCTCCCCTCAGCCTCTTCCTCTTCCTGCTTTCCTGTCTCGTCCTGCATCATCCCTCCTCCTTTTCCTGGCAATCCTCCTCCTCCTCGTCCTCGTGCGGAACACGACCCAGAGGAAGCGCACGACGTGCGTCCCAGCCGATACGCGCAGGAGGACGACCCAGAGGAAGCGCGCGCTGGATGATGACCCGGAGGAACCACGTGAGCTGCGGGACCCATAGGAAGGCTCCCGCCTGACGCGTCCTCACAATTCACTCACAGACGAGGGGCCCGCTTGATACTTCTTCCAAATTCAGACCTGAGGAGCCCAAAAATGACGACAGTTAAAGGAATCCGATGACCCGCTCGGATGAATAACATGATCTGCGGGCCCCATCAGGAGGGGGCTCCCGCCTGAGACTTGCTCGCAATTCACTTACAAACGAGGCTCCCGCCTGATACTTCCTTCAAATTCAAACCTGAGGAGCCCAAAAGTGACGACAGTTAAAGGAATCCGATGACCCGCTCGGATTAATAACATGATCTGCGGGCCCCATAAGGAGGGGGCTCCCGCTTGAGACTTCCTCACAATTCACTCACAGACGAGGTTCCCGCTTGATACTTCCTCCAAATTCAGAACTGAGGAGCCCAAAAGTGACGACAGTTACAAGAATCCGATCACCCACTCGGATTAATAACATGATCTGCGGGCCCCATAGGGAGGGGGCTCCCGCCTGAGACTTCCTCACAATTCACTCACAGACGAGGCTCCCGCTTGATACTTCCTCCAAATTCAGAACTGAGGAGCCCAAAAGTGACGACAGTTACAAGAATCCGCTGGCCCGCTCGGATTAATAATGTGATCTGCGGGCCCCGTAGGGAAGGGGCTCCCGCCTGAGACTTCCTCACAATTCACTCACAGACGAGGCTCCCGCTTGATACTTCCTCCAAATTCAGACCAGAGGAGCCCAAAAATGACGACAGTTACAGGAATCCGATGACCCGCTCGGATTAATAACATGATCTGCGGGCGCCATAGGGAAGGGGCTCCCGCCTGACGCGTCCTCACAATTCACTCACAGACGAGGCTCCCGCTTGATACTTCCTCCAAATTCAGAACTGAGGAGCCCAAAAGTGACGACAGTTACAGGAATCCGATGACCCGCTCGGATTAATAACATGATCTGCGGGCGCCATAGGGAGGGGGCTCCCGCCTGAGACTTGCTCGCAATTCACTGACAAGCGAGGCTCCCGCCTGATACTTCCTCCAAATTCAAACCTGAGGAGCCCAAAAGTGACGACAGTTACAGGAATCCGATGACCCGCTCGGATTAATAACATGATCTGCGGGCCCCGTAGGGAAGGGGCTACCGCCTGAGACTTCCTCACAATTCACTCACAGACGAAGCTCCCGCTTGATACTTCCTCCAAATTCAGACCTGAGGAGCACAACAATGACGACAGTTACAGGAATCCGATCACCCGCTCGGATTCGTAACGTGATCTGCGGGCCCCGTAGGGAGGGGGCTCCCGCCTGAGACTTCCTCACAATTCACTCACAGACGAGGCTCCCTCTTGGTGGATGATGGTGATGGGATGATGACGACGGTGCTTGATGATGATATATGATTGATGATGATGATGATGATGATGATGATGATGATGATGATGATGATGATGATGATGGTGATGATGATGATGATGATGATGATGATTCTGATGATGATGATGATGGTGGTGGTGGTGATGATGACGACGTGATGATGATGATGGTGGTGATGATGAGTGCTGATGGTGAGTGATCGTGCGATTCTGATGGTAAATGGTGGTGATGATGATGGGGACGAAGTGGTGAGTCAGCGAGTAGTGATGATGATGATGATGATGATGATGATGATGATGATGATGATGATCGTTCGATGCCGATGATGGTGAGTGATCGTGCGATGGTGATGGTGATGCTGATGGTGATGATGATGATGATGATGATGATGATGATGATGATGAGTGGGGAGTGATGGTGATGGTGATGATGATGCGGAAGAGGAAGCAAAGAGGAGCAGAGGAGAGGGAGGAGGACGAGAGATCCTGCGCGGAGGGTGTGCAGAGAAAACAAGAACCCCACTTAGGATGTGGGGAACAAGAACCCCATTTAGGATGTGGGGAACGATCCAATTTCGGTACTTTCTTGCTCGCAACTGTTTCTGGTGGTCAAGGCTAAAGTACGTTATAACATCATAAGCTGAGCCTTCTGAGCCCCCTGAGACGGCCCGCCACGTCTGCCTTTCCCCCCGGGCGTGCTCAAGCTTTGTTCAGTTCCGCGCATGCGCCCTCGCTGGCCTCCGTCTCGACGTGCTGCCACCCGCTAAGAAGACATGTTGGGGCGGTTCCCCCATGCGGTCCAGCGGACCGCAGAGCAAGCTCGGGCCCCAGAGGGGACGTCAAACGGCCGCCCAGCGGCTTCCAAGATGCTCAATGTGCACCCACGCGGCGCAATAGAGGCCCTTAGAGACGCCCAAAAACCATACACAAGAGACCCCAACGGTGCCCGGACAAAAAGTGTCCACGCCGAGGGCGCGACGATAATCAGGTATGATGGCAACGACAATTGCAATGCACATGTGGCTCGCCCCCCTCACCCCCAAACCCAAAGTTGAAGTGTCCACATTTTGTCCCCCGCGCGTTGCCTCGCACCCTACCCCCGTCAACTTTGGGTTGGGGGGGCGGGGGCTATGGATATTTGTTCGACGCAGTTCGATGTCGTATCATATTGGCGCGATGGGTGTGGACACTTCTTGCCCACCCACCGAAGCAAGGGCTTGCCCCTCCTCCCTCCTCTCCCTGTCTCCAAATCGCTTCCTCTTATCCTGCTGTTCCTCCTCCTGTCCATCGTCCAGCTTCCCCTCCTCCTCCTCCCCCTTCTGCTCTGCCCCCCCCTCCCGCCCTTCCTTTTTCGGGAGGCCCCTAGCCTCTGGAGGTCCTGGGAGGCGTTGGATACCCCCCCGAGCCCCCCATCATAATCAGACGTCCGAAAGCCTTGATCCCCGATCCTCTCTTGTCTCCCCCTCCTCCTTCCTCTCCTCCTCCTCCTCCTCATCCTCCCTCCTCCTCCTCCCTCCCTCTCTTCATCTCCTCCTCCCTCCCCCTCTCCTCCTCCTCCTCCTCTGCTCCCTCCTTCCTCTCCTCCTCCTCCTCCTCCTCCTCCTCCTCCTCCTCGATCCTCCTCGATCCTCCTCCTCCTCCTCCTCCTCGTCCTCCTCCTCCTCCTCCTCCTCCTCCTCCTCCTCCCCCTGCTCCTGCCTTTTCCCCTTCCTCCTCTCGCCCCTCCGCTGCGGAGGCGATGCCCGGGCCTGGCCACCGACAGGCCGCCTGGAGGAGGCGGTCATCGCAATGGCGAATGGCTCCGCGTCCTGCCAGGGCCACCGCAGGGGTCGGGAGGGGGGGAGGACGAGGGGCCACAGGAGGAAAAGGAAGATATCGAGGAGGGACAGGAATAATGGTGATGGGGCGGGGGACTGTGATGATAGTGGTGATGAGGAAGTGATGGGGGAGCGAAGGGAGGGAGAAGGAGGGAAAAGGAGAAAAGGGGAAACAGAGGAGGGGAGGAGGATGAAGGAGGATGCGGAGGAGGAGGGGGAGGAGGAGGAGGAGGAGCGAGGTGGGTGATTGGAGAGGGGAGGGGGACACGCTAGGCGCGTTCGCGCCGTAGCTGACGTCAGACCCCTCCTTCCCATCACTTTCCATAGTGCCGAATCGCTGTCTAGATTTCCCCAAGCAGTGCGGAACTGGGCCTGCGTGTCGCTCCGGCGGCGCTCCGTGGTTGCCGTCGCCGCCCCGTCGTCGCCCGTCGTCTGGGCCCACGTGGCGGTCTGGCAGCGCTCCGTGGTCGTCGTCGCCGCCTCGTCGCGGTCCGTCGTGTGGGCCTGCCTCGCGGTCTGGCGGCTCCGTGGTCGCCGTCGCCGCCCCGTCGCCGCCTAGATTGCACAACATCCGCTCTCCTTTCAAACAAATATTCAGATCTACCCCCCCGGACCCCCTGGGGATGTGCAGCTTACAGATGCTTGTGCCCCATCGTCCGTCCTAAATCTGAGTTCATACCATCCCAGGCAGGCTGGTATCATCCCCATCCTCTGCGACAGAAGCAATGCGCGCGCACTCGTTTATCAAATCAGCAGTTTTCAATAGCCCCTTGCAACGAATGGGACGAAGTGCACACGCGCGCGTCGTCGCGCGCACACCGAAATCCTGTTGTAAACACCGTAGGTTTCGTAAGGACTTCAAGATCGAATGTCACGACACAAATATAAAAATAGCATGGTTTCGCAGCACGGGTGTTCAAAACAACCCTGCGCTGGCGCTCTTGCAGAGTCTTGTGGACACTGCATTTGCCTTCTGGGCACGATAACGTTGTTTGCAGCACGCGCGCACAACCACGCACGCACATGCCAAATGATACCGATACCGTTCATGCGGCTGTGGTGCGATGCAGGCCGCCCAGTGGATGCGATGGTGGCTTCACACCTTGGCCCACTGGTTCGCACCACCCCCAGAAAGTTGTCTGCTGACACGAGCAGGGCAGCGGAAGTGGAGGGAAGTGGGAGGCGACGAACGCGATCAGGGGAGGAGACGAAAAGTGGGCAGAGGAGAAACGTGTCTGTCAACGTGAGCAGGTACGGGGGGGAGGAGACGAAGACTCTGCAGGGAAGTGGGTCGCCCCCACTCCCCAACGGTGCGAGAGGCCGCGACGGGGGCGGGCCCTCGAAACGACGTCGTTGGGCACGGGGAAGGAGGCCATGATGTTGGCCTCGTCGTCGTAGGCCTCCAGGATCGAGGAGAAGGAGGAGGAGGAGGAGGAGGAGGAGGAGGAGGAGGAAAGAGGAGGAGGAGGGAGGAGGAGGAGGAGGAGGAGGAGGAGGGAGGAGGAGGAGGATCGAGTATGAAGAGGAGGAGGAGGAGGAGGAGGAGGAGGAGGAGGAGGAGGAGGAGGATCGAGGAGGAGGAGGAGGAGGAGGAGGAAGAAGGATCGAGGAGGAGGAGGAGGAGGAGGAGGAGGAGGAGGAGATGATGATGATGATGATGATGATGATGATGATGTGATGATGATGATGATGACGATGATGATGATGATGCTGATGATGATGACGATGATGACGATGATGATGCTGATGATGATGATGATGATGATGTGATGATGATGATGATGATGATGATGATGATGATGATGATGACGATGACGATGATGATGCTGATGCTGAATATGATGATGAGGAGGAGGAGGAGAAGGAGGAGGAGGAGGATCGAGGAGGAGGAGGAGATGAAGAGGAGGAGAAGGAGGAGGAGGAGGAGGAGGAAGAGGAGGAGGAAGGGGATCGAGGAGGAGGGGGATCGAGGAGGAGGATCCAGGAGGAGGATCGAGGCGAGTGGCAGAGGAACCCTCGGCACAGGGGCGCGGGGGGGGGGGGGGCGACGTTTTTTTTTTTTTGTTCCTAACCATCCTGTGGTGCTGGGTCCTCGTTTTGAAGAGACGGTGCCCTGCGTCTCCTTCCTTCCTCCTCCTCCCGCTGCCTCCTCCCTCCGCCCTCCTCTCCCTCGTTGCCTCTGCTCACGGCGCACCCCTCGCACGTTTCGCGTAGCCCCATAGGGGGCTCCACCTAAGGGCTCAGTGGCGCAGTTCGCATGCGTCTCCCCCACCCAGGACAGCGTTTCGTGGCCCCATAGGGAGCTCCACCGACGGTCCCAGTGGCGCAGTTCGCATGCGTCTCCCCCACCCAGGACAGCTTTTCGCGGCCCCATAGGGAGCTCCACCGAAGTCACAGTGGCGCAGCTCGCATGCGTCTCCCCCGCCCAGGACAGCGTTTCGTGGCCCCATAGGGAGCCCCACCGAGGGTCCCAGTGGCGCAGTTCGCATGCGTCCCCCCCCACCCAAGACAGCGCTTCGTGGCCCCATAGGGAGCTCCACCGAGGGTCCCAATGGCGCGGTTCGCATGCGTCTCCCCCGCCCAGGACACCGCTTCGTGGCCCCATAAGGAGCCCCACCGAAGGCCCCATTGGCGCAGTTCGCATGCGTCTCCCCCTCCCAGGACAGCGTTCCGTGGCCCCAGAGGGAGCTCCACCGATGGTCCCAGTTGCGCAGTTCGCACGCGTTTCCCCACCCAGGACAGCGTAACGTGGCCCCATAGAGAGCTCCACCGAAGGCCCCAGTTGCACAGTTCACATGCGTCTCCCCCACCCAGGACAACGCTTCGTGGCACCATAGGGAGCCCCACCGAGGGCCCCACTGGCACAGTTCGCATGCGTCTCCCCCACCCAGGACAGTGTTCCGTGGTCCCATAGAGAGCTCCACCGAGGGTCCCGGTGGCACAGTTCGCATGCGTCTCCCCCTATCCAGGACAACGTTTCGTGGCCCCATAGTGAGCCCCACCGAAGGCACCAGTGGCGCAGTTCGCATGCGTCTCCCCCACCCAGGACAGCGTTCCGTGGCCCCATAGGGAGCCCCACCGAGGGTCCCAGTGGCGCAGTTCGCATGCGTCTCCCCAACCCAGGACAACGTTTCGTGGCCCCATAGGGAGCCCCACCGAAGGCCCCACTGGCACAGTTCGCATGCGTCTCCCCCACCCAGGACAACGTTTCGTGGCCCCATAGGGAGCTCCACCGAAGGTCCCAGTGGCGCAGTTCGCATGCGTCTCCCCCACCCAGGACAGCTTTTCGTGGCCCCATAGGGAGCTCCACCGAGGGTCCCAGTGGGGCAGTTCGCATGCGTCTCCCCCACCCAGGCCAACCTCTCGTGGCTCCATAAGGAGCTCCACCGAAGTCCAGTGGCGCAGTTCGCATGCGTCTTCCCAATCTAGGACAGCGCTTCGTGGCCCCATATGGAGCTCCACCGAGGGCCACAGCTGCACTCGCATGCGTCTCCCCCATCCAGGACAGCGTTTCGTTCCCCCACAGGGAGCTCAACCGAAAGCCCCAGTGCCGCAGTTCGCATGCCTCTCCACCCACCCAGGACAGCGTTTCGTGGCCCCATAGGGAGCCCCACCGAAGGCAACAGTTGCTGCACTCACATGCGTCTCCCCTACCCAGGACAGCCTGTCGCGGCCCACAGGGATCTCCACCGATTGCGATACTCACAACGACGGTACTCACAACTGCATATGGTTGGGTCCTTCGCCAGGCGATTCGTTTGTTTCAGTTTTTGTTTGTTCACATCTATACACATAAACATATACATATACATATACATATACATACATATACATATACATATACATATACATACATGCATACCTACATACATACATACACACACATATATATATATATATATATATATATATATATATATATTGAAACCAATTAATGAAACCAACTGCCGCCGTTTTTGGCTTGGCTTCGCTGTGGGCCAGCGGTCGAAGTGAAAGGAGACACATCGATGGCAGACCCCCCCCCCACACAGGCCTCGGACAAAAAAACAGCGAACACTCATGCCGCGTCCAGCTGTCAACGCCTCCCCCTGCCCCCAGTGTTCAGAGTTGGCGATGGGTCTGATGAGTTGCACCTCAACCGCAGTCTCCCCTGCGCGTGCCAACTTTGCGTTTGGGGGAAGGGGGAGTGTTCAGTAATTGTTTCCCTCTACCGTACAGTAGGGGCCCGACCACAAGAAACCTTCCACAAGAAACCCAGCCCTGAGACCCCACCCAGGACGTCCATCGAGATTTTTGGTGTGGGAGCGTAACGCTTTCCACAGCAAAACCATCGAAATCCGAGAAGCCCAGGGCACCCTGGAGGCGAGCAGGGTGTTTCTTAGCATTGGCCTCCACTGTAGAGGTCAGGGAATCCAACGAAGTCCTCCAGTAAACGCACCCAGGGAAGGCATCAAAAAGGGCAAGGCTGCTTATTGTAGTAAACGCCCAGGGCCGTTCAGTACACGTCCATTGTCGGGTCCGGGTGGTTCTTCCTCCCTTGAACACAGCCGCCCTGTCAACGTCAAGTCTGCCGCATCGCTCCGCCCCAGAAGCCTGGGAAGGAGAAGGCTGCGCCAACGTCGAGGCCCAGTTCGGCAGAGACCGCCGCCTCGACGACGGCAGAAACCGCGGCCAAGCCGCCAGGTCCGCCGGCGCACACGCGGAAGCCCGTGCCGGCGCCAGAGCTCACACCTGCAGTCAACCCGATTCATAAGGACGCACGATAAGGACGCGAGGGCCTTGGAAGGCCGTGTCGACACTCTGCGAACGGGGCGCGGCCCGCGAAGGCGGCCGAGGATGGGCCAGAGACGGAGGAGGATGCAAGGGTCACCTTGGACAGTTGCTCTCATCGTTCCCATGTAGATTGGCTGCAGCGTCTGGCTGTGCTTGGCCTGTTGCTCTGCTCCTTTCTCGCGCGTGCAGCAGGCACATCTACGGCAGAACGCGTTGCGGCAGGAAGTATTGAGGCACGTCCTGCGGCCACCTGTCAGGGTCCTGAGGTGCCCCAGGGCTTCTGTGGGTCCCTAGGGCCACTGGGGTTAGGTCGGGCATGTCACCCTACAGGCGGACTTTGGACGAAAAAAGAAAAATAGTCAAATTAGCCTGGCGAAGGACCCAACCATATGCAGTTGTGAGTACCGCAGTTGTGGGTATCATCTTCGGTGGAGCTCCCTGTGGACCACGAAACGCTGCACACCGCCACTGGGGCCTTGGGTGGAGCTCCCTATGGGGGAAACGCTGTACTGATTTTGGGAGGCGCCTGTGAACGGGTTCATCGAGGCCTTCGGTTGAGTTCCATATGGGGCTACGAAAGGCTGTATTGGGGGCAGGAAACAAATGTGGACGGTTCCACTGTTGCTCTCGGTGGAGCACCCAATGGGGCCACGAAGCGATGTACTGGGGGGAAACGCATGTGGACTTTGCTACCAGGGTCTTCAAAGGAGTTAGTTCTCTATGGGGCCACGAAGCGCCGTGCTGGGAAGGGGAGACGCATGTGGACGGTGCCACTGGGGCCTCGGGTGGACTTCCCTATGGAATCACGAAGCGCCGTGCTGGTTGGGGGAGACGCATGTGGACACCGCCACTGGGGCCTTGGGTGGACCTCCCTATGGGACCACGAAGCGCCGTGGATGGGGGAGACGCGTGTGGACACCGCCACTGGGGCCTTGGGTGGACCTCCCTATGGGGCCACGAAGCGCAGTGCTGGGTGGGGGAGACGCATGTGGACACCGCCACTGGGGCCTTGGGTGGACCTCCCTATGGGGCCACGAAGCGCAGTGCTGGGTGGGGGAGACGCATGTGGACACCGCCACTGGGGCCTTGGGTGGACCTCCCTATGGGGCCACGAAACGCCGTGCTGGGTGGGGGAGGCGCGTGTGGACACCGCCACTGGGGCCTTGGGTGGCCTATGGGGTCATGAAGCGCCATGCTGGGTGGGGGAAACGCATAAGCGCCGTGCTGGGTGAGGGAAACGCATGTGGACACCGCCACTGGGGCCTTGGGTGGGCCTCTCTATGGGGCCGCGAAGCGCCGTGCTGGATGGGGGAGACGCATGTGAACACCGCCACTAGGGCCTTGGGGGTGGACCTCCCTATGGGGCCACGAAGCGCCGTGCTGGGTGGGGGAGACGCATGTGGACACCGCCGCTGGGGCCTTGGGTCGACCTCCCTATAGGGCCACGAAACGCCATGCTGGGTGGGAGAGACGCATGTGGATACCGCCACTGGAGCCTTGGGTGGAGCTCCCTATGGGGCCACGAAGCGCCGTGCTGTGTGTGTGTGGGAAACGCATGAGGACACCGCCACTGGGGCCTTGGGTGGACCTCCTTATGGAGCCACGAAGCGCCGTGCTGTGGGGGAGA